CGGGGCCGGTGCTGCCCAGGAGCTGCAAACAAAGCCCGGCGCGGGTTGTGGCAAAACCTGTTCAGCGAGACGCGGAGATAAGGAAGCAGAAAGCAGGGAAGCAGGACACGGCTGCAGCATCCCACGGGATGGGCGGCTGCGGCGGGGGCAGCTCCGGGAAAGCCGCATCGCTCGCCAGGGCCTTGCTGCCTCCGCGGCCACGCTCCAACGCCGGGAACGTTGTTTTCCTCAGAAAAACGCTCCAGCGCAGCAGTTCCCGGGGCCTGGCGTCACCGCGCGCGCTGTCTGCGGCCAAGAGCCTCCCAGCACGACAGGGCCTCTGTGCACACGCTGCCCCGAGCCCAAACTCCAGACATCTCAGCAATTTGCCCATCTTAAAAATAAAATCCTTTATTGATAATATGAGTGTTTAACATGGTTAATGCCATCAGCTATAAAAATGATTAAAGACTCCAGCTTGGTACATTTGGCTTTACAAATTTACAAGTGTTAATGAATTAATACTAATGTATACATTTTGCACTTCATTATACTCCATTAGCCAGTGACAAACTCTGCAACAATTTTTGCTTATAACAGATGTGAACTATAGAAGAAATACTTAGCTGCTCCCACACAGAACCTACAGCAAAAGTTAAATACTAACTCTACGTGTCTTACTGAATTAGTTGGGTTCATTTTAATATTTGTGCTTAGTTTCTCTCCGAAGATAGGCTACTAGCAAAAATACATTCTTTTGCATACCCCCTTCCCATATTATATTTTAGAAGAAACAGTATTCAGTGCATTTCCTAATAAACTTCATTATAGTATCTTTCTATAGAGCTATTGATAAAGAAAGGGGATAATACCATTTAGGTTAGTGTAAAAGCAAAGAAACATGTTAAAGCAGTGTATACAAAAGCCTCATTTTCGAATCAGAAGTGACACGGGGGCAAAAATCCATGTGCTCCTCAATTTTTAGACTTACCTTCCTCAAGAGAAAAAGAAATCCGCTGTGGACATGTCAAAATAATAATAATAATAGTAAAAGTGCTTCCCAAAGAGTCACTACCATTAACTGTAGGGCGGTCTCAGGACACAGCCCATTCTGGTGCAGCCTCCCAGTCACTGCAGGGATCTTTCCTACAACCGAGTAGGATGAATTTTATCTAATAAATATTGGAAAAAAAAAATGACAAAGCATTTCCAGCTGTGGGTAGCTTACTGCTAAGGATCCCTTTTTTTTTCCTCTCTAATCCTAATAAAAGTCCACCTTTTCTTCATGTTAGGGAGACCCTCAAGATTAGCTTAAGATTGGGCTGCATTGTGTGGTTAATATATATGTGTGTGTGTGCGGTTACCTGCACGTGCAGCCAGTGCAAGCTGGCGGGATCCTGCAGCTGGTCGCGCACATCCAGGTCAGCACATCCAGGCGAGCAGCAAAGTTATTGCTTTCTTTTAGAGGAGAAGATCCCATTCTACTGCCGCAAAACACCTGTACCATATGGACTAAGGGTTTTTCTTTTCAAGTAATAGCAAGATCATTATCAAGTAACAGCAAGATCCTTTTCTCAGAAGTTCTACACATGACAGTAGAATGCTTGAATAATTTGAAATTAAAAGTGACTTGCCAGAAGCCAGAACTTAGCCATAGAAAGCACACAGGCATTTCCACAGAACACGTTACCAAAAAGCAAAATACTTCTCTCAATATTTTTTATCCAAGTAGTGATCAGGATGGTACTAAGGCTAAATTTTACACCAAGAAACTCCTAAAATATCTAGGACCTCTGTCCTAAAGGGCAAAGTGTGGCTGGCTGTGTCAGTCTGGCGGTCACCTTACAGAACTTACTTGTAGCATATTTGCCAGCTCATTTCAACAAATGGAAAGAATTAAAAACAGTGTTGGTTTAAACATTCATGACTCACAGAAAAAATCATTTCTGCAGCTAGATGGTTCCCTTGCCTTTTTCAGAGAATCACATTCATATTGCAGGCTTAGTTCAGGCACTTTTAATAAAATGTTCATCTGGAGTAAAAAGTCTGCACAAGTTTCTGCATAATTTAAAAGTAGCATTTCAGTCCCATTATAGTTTGATGGTTAGGTCCCAGCACATGATTACAATTCCTGTCATCTCGGATGATTTGACTGCTGCCATGAGACACTTGAGGCTACTGTATAGCTGTAGTTAAGGTTTCTTCATAAACAAAAATATTTCCCTACCTATTTAAAAAAGAAAAATATACTAAATGCTTTATACAGACAGACTCTGCTTCTATGGAAATAAATAACATGGAGTGGAAAAACAGTGTCTTAGCTCTAGGATGCTAAGCCCTGGAATGTCACATTCACATTTTGTGCAGACTAGCTGCTGGTTGGCAGGAGGATCTCAATGTCTTTGCCGTTCGACACTACAGTGTTGTTAGAGCAGCTACTTGCCACGTCCATGGGGGCACCTAGGGAAGACGCCTGAGGAGCTGCTTTGGTTCCTGGAGCAGGAGCAGCAGGTGACTGAGCAAGGCCAGGTTTCTTTGGAGGAATGGGTGGTGGGTTCCCTCTTTCTGCTCTAGGAATGGTTGGAGATTTAATTCCAGGAGACAAAGGGCTGAGCGGACTGGAAACCTTGCCTGCGCTCGGAGAGTGACCAGACTCACTTTTGGGGCTCACGGCGTTTGCCAGGTTTCGATAGTCCGTGCCAAAGGGGGAGCTATTCGGGGAGACTGGTTTAATAGATCCCTGCTGGCTGGTAAATCTGGAAAGCACCTGAGTGACTGTATTGCGGGCGAGCTGCTTGGCAGCAGAGTTATCTGCTAGAGTTGGAGACAAATCCCTTGACGGGGGGCTCTGCAGACCGCTCGACTGGTGCTCCTGTTCGGCCTGAGACTGGAACTTGTGCCGGGCGGCGTGGAAGCGCTGGTTGATCCCCACCTGGTAGGACGACTGGTAACCAGGGCTGCCCGCCGAGGCTGCCACCAAGCGCTTGGTGAGAACCGGCGAGGAGCAGGGCGAGGGTGTCAGCGAGGAGGCGGCCGTGCTGCCGGGGGACAGGGAGGCCCCGCCGGAGGGCAGCTGGGACAGCAGGGGCACTGGGGACTCCGTTCTGACGGGAGAACTTCCATTCTCGGCTGCGCTCTCCGGGGCTGCACCAGGCTTCTCCTTGGGAGCCTGGTTCTCCGCTGCGTCCGTGTGCGGCAGCTCGCTTCCCGCGTGCGCGTCGGAGCCGCAGTGCCCGTTGGATTTCGCGTAGGAGTGAGCGGCGGTGGCGGGGCTGGGACACGCGGTGTGTGCAGCCCTGCCGGCGCTGGCGGCGCCCGCTCTGTCTGCCTGCAGGCCCTCGGTCTGGCAGGACACGGACCTCACCGTGGGGCTGTCGGTTGTGACACTTCGGGACATCACTGAGGGCCCTGGCTGCACAGGCTCGGCAGGACTGGGCTCCTGGCAAGAAGCCTCCAGCTCTTTCAGGGATTTCTTCAGACACTCCACCTCTTCTTTCAGGGCTTTGGTACGGTTTTCTTCTCTGTTCAGCTTGGCTTTCAGCTGTTCTCTTTCAATGTCAAACTCCGAGAGCTGCTTTTCTACTTGTGCTTCCATCTGCAAACCCCGCTTCCTCTTGGATGCCAGCTCCTCCTCCAGTTTACTCACCTTACTCTTCTCTTTTTCCAATTTCAAGCTCAGTTCTGCTGTCTTCTGCCCCTCCTCAGCTGCTTTGGCAGTGGCTTTCTTGCACTCCACCACAAGCATGGAGGACAGCTGCTTGTGGCGTGCCCTCTCCTCTTCCAGCTGGCTCGACAGCTTCTTCTGTTCCTTTTCAAACTTTTTCACTTGAGATTTTTCAAACTCCAACTGGAAGACAAAGACAAAGAGGGACTGAGGGAACCAACAAAACCTTCTGAAAGTAAATAAAGTAAAACACTCCCAAAACAGATGGGATTACACTATATATCTTGGGGAAATTTCCTAGTAAAACATGGCTGTGCCTAACACAAGGAAGAGGTTCTTGCCCAAGTGTCTCTAAGAGCCACTCATCATACAGGACTGCCTATCTGTCAACATGTATTAAGAATTACTTACTACTAGTTAACATGTATGAAAATCGATTGGCATTTACTGTAAAATAGGCCCAATTTGTCAAGCACTGATTGAAGAGGCTGTGTGAAGAAAAGCTTCACTTCCACCTCATTCACTTTTGGCGACCCACCTCTTAAAGGTATTTAGACTTTCAAATGTGGATGCATTATGCATGTTATGAAAATCCATAGTGCTCGAGTAACAGAAAACAGCAGCTTAGTTTTTCATTGTTGTCTCTGAATAAACCCCACAGATCTTTCACATCTTATCCTGACTTCTCAGTAGCAGGGAGCTCTACCACTTGGAAGCACAGTCCAATTCTCAAGGATATCTCAGCTTTCAGTCTGAAACGAGTTTTCAAAGTGTGCAACCGTCTATTAATGGCTTTTATCACTGTAGAAAATTAAGGCTGCTTTTCCATATCTGAATGTTAGAAACCAGAAACACCCTGGAGGAGGGAGGCCAGAAACACCTCGGAGGAGGGAGGTGCCGGCACTCCCTCAGCACAAAGGTGCAACCAGACGTGGCACCGTGTTCACCGCCCGGCCTGCACAGCCAGGAGCGCCGGTGCCCCCGGGATCTCCAGGGCCAATTCCGGGCTCTCCAGGGCCAGGTGCCCCCGGGCTCTCTGGGGCCGATTCTGGGCTCTCCAAGTACCGGGTGCCCCCGGGCTCTCCGGGGCCGGTTCCTCCGCGCGGGCTCCCAGCTCACCTGCTGCGTGAGCCGCTCCCTCTCCTTCTCCAGCATGTAGGTGACGTCGTCCCCCTCCGCCGTGTCCTGCGCGTGACGCTGTCTTTCTTCCTCCAGGTCCAGGATCACCTTCCAAACAAACAGGCTCGTTAGATTGTGACACCAGAGACAACCCCGCGCGAGGCGCGGGCGGCAGGGCCAGCTCCAACCACGTAAAAGAGGCTGTTGGACAAAGTGCTATACCTGCTATAGTGACACCTGCTATAGTGAGCCCGTTTGTGAAGAATGGGTAGAAAAATGCACCGAGAGCATCTTCATTCTAGTATTAAGTAGCAAAATTGCATGTTTTCGTCCAGACTGCAGTACAGCCTTGAGAAGCTTATGAGGGATTCATTGCAGCTGCTGTTGGGTTTATGGTGCCCTTATCAGAACCGGTTGGCAGGACAGTTTTATGTGTACAGGTGTTTATATAAATAAAAACCAGGAGCAGACAAACTACCTCGGAACACAGGGCATTACCAAGATGCTCTTAGTCACCATTTCAATGGGAACTGGCATATGGACTCCCCCCTCCCCAGTGTCTTGAGGACTGCACTGCAAAGTTTATTTTACAGAACCTTAATTTGTTCTTCCACTTAAGATGAAGATGAACTCTTGAAATGAAAATGCTTGCCATAAGGACATGGCTAAGGAGCTCCTTCAGATTTAACACTGAATTACATGAATAATGAGATTCGATCAACTCGACAAAAAAAGCCAGAAATGAGCTTCCCAAGAGACCCTGCAGTGCCTCATTACCAGAATTACAGGCTCTCCCAAAACATGATCACCATGAATATAGCGGATCCTCAGTCTTTCTACAGTTTATGCTTCCAAACACTGCCTAAATACCTTCAAGTACACAGGGTACATTTTGTCAGGAGCAAATAGCAGGTACAGCATCCATATTGAGTGATAAGGAGCTTAAACAAAGGCACAAAACCCTTTTAAACACTAAAACTCTCATGGCATTTAAGTGTTTTTGAAGTCCACATCTTATCAAAACGGAACTATGCTACTTCTGCACAGTTTAGTTGAAGCAACCTACCTTTCTGTGCCTGCTTTCTGCAGCAGCGAGTTGGGATAACATTCTTTCCTGCATATTCTTGCAGTGTTTCATCACCACTTTCAAAACAGATAATGGATTGGAGCAGACAGGTTGCTTTTCACCATGATTTCCTTCTTTGAGGGTCTCAAAATCTCTCTGCAGAGCCATTAGTGGATCACTGATATTGTACTTTCCATAGCGTTCTTCAATGAACGTATCTCTATGCTGGGCCTGAAATGTAAAAACAAACGCGCATTTCAACACACTGGAAACAGCAAACCAGCTGAAGAAAGTCATTTGCAGTTAAAAGTATCTCTCTTCCCCAGCTTTTCGACGTAGAGATAAAGAAATATTAACAGAATATGAATTGGCCTTATCTGCTTACGAGTATTAAGACAGGAAAACACAGGAGTAGCTGTGTTGATGGCAGCTGATGCACTGCTTCAGGCACAGCTACTTGTTATCTCGCCCATGAGCGATGAGTCAGGAAGAGGGTAAATATCAGTTCCTGCTCACTGGAAGGCTTAATAATTTACTGATGTTTCAGCAGAAGAGTAGTTGTGTGGTTTTCTTGGCTATGTTACCATCAAAGAATTTCATGTTGAGCAATTAAAGCATCTCACTCTCACAATAGCCTATAAATCTGTAACTTGTTAACAAAATCCCTAATATTCTCAACCAGACTAAACAGAGTGCAGCCTCTCAAGAAACAAGATAGGAATGATTGCCCTTCTTTCAGTGACGTGCAAGAACTAGACAAACCCACACATACTGTGCCTAAAACGTTCGGAATCAGACACCCTAGTTAGAAATCTGGTTATTAGGATATTGCAATCTTAACCTATTACTTTTCATCTCTTAGAAAGACTACTGTGAAGTTCTAGAACATGCAAAACTGAATTTTATGATCAGATCTGAAATTGCCTACATTTTTGCCACTGTAATAAGAACCTGTACAAAAACAAATAGACATTCAACAGAAGACAGGAGAGAAAGAGAGCTGAGGCTCTCAAGAGCCCTGAGAGTTGATCTAACTTAACTCCAAAAAGAATTACTCACTAATTTAAGCTGAAGCAATAGTCTAACCACGAAGCAGTGCTGCAAGCCCCGAGCCCGTGCGCTTCCCGCTCCAACGCGGCATTCCAGGGGGTTGTCAAAAGCACCACTCTGGGATGCTTGGGATGGGGCTGTGTGTGCTGGGAAGGGGGATACCTTTGAAATCCAAGATTTGAGCCAGACTCTTCCTGCTTCACCATAGTCATGGGAATCAGTCCCTACAGGAGGACTCAGGCCTTTCATTTTCTGCAGCACGTAGATGATCGTGTTTTCTCCTGCACAGTTATATTTTTAGCAAGGCACCACGCTGAACTCTCACTCCTCGCAGGAATTACCTACAACGTTCTGCTCTGCCAACGGCAGGAGTCAGTCAGCATCTTTAAACCAACCCCCTTTGCCTAACGTGCTATTAGCTTTAGACTGGCTTAATTTCACCCCTACCCTAGCAAAGCACTACGGGATCTACAGAGAAAAATTACGAGGATGTTTCCTGCTCTTTGACAGCAAGCAAGGCCGACTCCTGCTTTGAGAGCCTGGCCCAAACACGCGCTCCCTGTGTTACCAGGTGGGTCTGAGCTTCACGCGTGCGCTGGACACACGTCTGGGCATCCTTGGGAACATTAACAGAAACAAGCCACACCAAATTAAACACAGCGGCTTCTTCATCATTAATACGGTGTCCTGAGCTCTGCGGATCCCACGCCAGGGCACTCTCGGAGGCAGGAAAGGCAGGAAACACAAACACCGAGCGCAGAGCCACTAGAGCCCTTCCTGGGGACGGCGTTCAGGCTGCGAAGAGCGGCTCTGACTAAAACTGAAAGCAACTCGGAAGCCAGTATTTATTGGAATGATTATTTGCCGAAATTCCAGTGAACTGCAGTGAAAATGTAAACACTTCCGTCCAGCAGACAAGAGGGATAGTGATTCTCCAAACACCACCCCACACACGTCGGTGCAGATTTCCTGAAACAGGAAAGCAAATTGCTCTGGCAAAGAAAGCTAACTCTCAGCAAGTTATTTTACAGATAACTTGTGAAGTTCAGAGATCGAATGAGGTGCCCAAATTGCATTCATATTTGCTGCTCTGAGAAGCCTGCAGTCCCATTCTCTGCATCATCTTGCTGCTTCATGCATTCAGCTTTACTAAAGGGAGGATGAGAAAACAGCTGAGCCTTGAAATAACAGCAACAAAGCATTGCTTCACCCGGGAGCTGCCGGGCCACTTCTGGTCCCACCTATATTCTAAGCTGCAACCACATAATTAGCATGAAAAAACCCATGATCATAAACAAGCTCTACTCTCCCTAGGTGAATTTTATAAATAACCAAGCAACAAAAGAAAGCAACTTTCCCCCCTACATCTTCCAAAAATCAAAAACAATTAGGGTTATTTGGTCCTATAATGCTAGTTTGCAGATGTATTTTAACGCAATAAGCAAAAAGGAACATGGCACAAAAGCTGTGATTCCAGATCCTGTTTCCTGTTTCTCCGTCTTTCAAATAAAAGTGGGTATTACTTGAGTCCAAGTACATTTGATCAGAGCTTATGATATTGTTCAAGCTTTACATAAAAAAAAAAAAAAAAAAAGGAAGAGGAAGGAAAAGATCAGCCCTGGAAATGGGAGGGCCACCTTGGATAATGAGCCATCCTGGCTTAATGAATCACAGGAAAAACCACAGGCTTAAGTTTTTTAATAAATGGAGGGTGGGGAATCTTTACTTACTCCGAAGCATTATAGAAGTGACTAAACCTTGCAACAGATGTGTAGGGAGCTTGCAAGTGACTCAAGCACTGGAAAGTCTTTAAATACAAATTGGAAAGTCCACCCAGCTGGCTCGGCTGCCCTGGCGGCAGGGCTGTTTTTGTCCTTTCAGCAGAGCCCAGCTCTGGAGCGGTTGCTGTCTACAACCACAGCACAGAAACTCTCCTCAGGCCGGTATCGCTGCTCCCAGCAGTGCGAGCAACCACGAGGACACCCAGCAGTTTGCTTCTGGAGCACTTCTTTCCAGGAAAGCTTAAGGAATTGGACTGCATCGATCCCGGTCACTCAGGCTACCAAAGCGCTCCGGTTTGTGCGAGCCCTGAAGTGTGAACAGGCCGTGTTCTGCCTCCGCGCCGGGTCAGCGGCGGGCCCCGCTGCTGCTGGGTTTAGCTGGGGGTGGCTTGCTTCCTGTCTGGGAAAGAACAAGAAGTTCTTCCTGGCTCCTAGGAGCAGTTTAGTATTTTCCTGAGCTAGCATGACGAACAGATGAGGCTATCACAACATTAATAGCCTGCTGAAGCCCAGCTATTCTCCTCCAGCAGCCAGCAGAGCATAAACATTTAATTAAAAGTCGCTTAGCCTACAAAAAGGCTTAACCAGGCTCCCTGGACAGCCCGCACGTCGTTGGTAAGAGCAAGGCCACGGCGCAGGACGCGCGGGGCCGCCGGGCGCAGCAGAACCCCCTCTGGAACCGAACCCGCACAACACCCCGGCGGCACGAGGGAACTGGGGACTAGTCTGTGCCCCGCTCCCCAGAGGAAAAGGGATTTAAACTCGGGCTGCTCTTAAGGAAAACATCAAGGGGAACAGCAAGGCATGAGAGCAACTACCCCCAACACCAGCAGAGCTCAGCGTGTGCAGGGGTAACGCTCCGGACTGGCTGCCCTTTAGTTCAAATGAGGGTAATTGACCTCTGCTGGTTTGTGTGGAAAAAGGATAGTTCTGATTTTATGGAGCAGAAGCAGTATCTGAAGCAACTGAAAAGATGTTTCCTGTGCGGACAAGAAAGGCAAAGGCTCCACTCCGGCAGGAAAAAGCTACTGTTTTCTCCAGGGAATTCTGGACTGTTTTGGGCTGAGTGTTTTCCATAATCTACTTTTTATTTTCTTAAAGATTTCCTTTTATTGAAGGCTTGTTTATGAGACTGTATTTTCTCTTTGCCTTCAATAATCTTTACAACTTGTTTTACTGGAACATCAAACAGTGGGAATTTCCAGGACTCATTTTAAGTGATTTTTGGATATAAAGTAGAATATTGCTCTTGCCTATAAGTTTTCTTGCCTATAAATTATAAATCCGGGTTTTCACACTGGGCACCACAGAGAAGTGTGCAGTTGCTTTTGCA